CTAGACTGACAGTGGATGGAACAGATTGCACTGTGTCGTGTTTGGGAAGGTTGCTGACCTCTCTTCTCTTCCTAGAAACACTTGGCTGACCTGGGCCTGACAGAAGCTATTGACAAAACCAAGGCTGACCTGTCAAAGATATCTGGCAAGAAAGATCTTTACTTATCCAACGTCTTCCATGCTGCTGCTCTTGAATGGGACACAGATGGAAACCCCTATGACGCTGACATCTATGGCCGAGAGGAGATGAGGAACCCCAAGCTCTTCTATGCTGACCACCCCTTCATCTTCATGATCAAGGACAGCAAAACCAACTCCATTCTCTTCATTGGCAGGCTCGTCAGGCCCAAAGGAGACAAGATGCGTGATGAGTTGTAGTTTTTTTTTCCAGAGCTCGTTTTGGTTTGCGTGTTTTTTAGGGGGGGATTTCAAAAAAGGGGAAACACTGTTTTGTATCCTTCTCGAACTATGGGTGCTATTCAGACCAGGGTGCATTGTGATGAGAAACCAGCATACACTTTACCTCACCCCCAAATACAAAATCCATTGCACAAACCCACCTCCAGAGAACAGGGGAGCCTGGCACAGTAAGAAACCAAGTGGACAGGAACTGCCATGTGTTGTCTCAGCACTTCAGTTGAGATGTTTGGGCTTAAGCCTGGTTCCTCCCTGCACCTGCTCAAGTACCTTGCTACTACCATCAGCCCTGCAAAGGCACAAGCTCTCTACCTTTCCATCTCTAATGCTTCTGCACCTTTAGTTCTGCCTACTTTCCGCTTGCCTTGGTGCCATGCGGCACCATGCTAAAGCTGCTCTGAGTCCTCTGCAGTTGCTTCTTGCCTGTGGCAGAAGGCACAGGTATGCTGAGCTCAAGTGGTACAAAACAGAACAACCAGAGCAGGTTCTGTGCTTCAGCCCCAAATGTACCACTGGGAGCAGAACAGGACACTGACATCAAGCAGGAGCTGAAATCCCATGTTGTTGTGTCTTTCTGTCCTGCCTCACCCTGCTCTGGATGGCTGATAGATGCTTCCCCAGCACCCAGCTGTCAGTCCTTAGCTAGAATACTGCAAAGCCAGGTGCAGCCTTGGTCTATGTTCTGCAAAATAGGTGGCTTTGAGATGTCAGCAGAGAGGCCAAAGAGGCAGGCTTGTACAGACACCTGTGGAATTATTTATGTGGCTCTCAGAATTATAAGGAGACTTTTGGGCTGACAACTCCAATTAAACAAACCAGGCAAACGGAGAAACTTCTGGTGCTCCTGCATCAGCACACAGGACTGTGAAAGAGTTTACACTGTGACGGTTCCCCTAGTCAGAGGCAGGGCTGATACCCCATCAGCTTCTGTACCAGACCAGGGGACTCCTGCTGGCCTCTAGCAGGGAGGTGGACCAAGGCTCACTTCCACTTGCCTCAATATAAAGCTTTAATTTCCTTCACCTGACTCCTTAATGTCCCTTTTCTGCAGCTCCTCTCTTCTCTTTAGCTCCCTGCTGGCTGACCTGGATAAGGGCACACTGAAAAACAAATGTATTTATAATTGTGTACGTATTTATGTCTGATAGTTAACAAGTTTCATAGCCTGCTCCAGCCTAAACTTGGAGGTTTATCCCACCTTCCTCAGACTAAAGGACATTGTCAGGTTAATCCTACTTAAAAGAACTGATGCAACCCCAAGAGTGTTGAAGCATGTGTCAGACAAGCCTTGCTGTGCACTGAGACACACTGCAAAGCAAGACATGACAAGACTATTGAAATAAGAGAAATCTGGGGTGTCACATTAGCAGCAGTTGCTTAGAACGAGCAGAGACAGCGTGACTGCATTGCTTTTCTTTGTATTTTCCTGCCAATGCATTTTGCTGTCATACAAGCCCAATACTGCATTTTTTTCAGAACACCCATGTGACTGTTTCCACTTATTTATTAACAAGTTGTTACTTCTTGCATCTTACCAGAGATCTCATACAGCACAAAATTCAACTTGCAACTCCAAGTTTAACCTGTCTGCATCTTCTCCAGATTTGCAAGTTTGACAGTTGCAGAAAAGCAGGTCTGCCCTAAGTCTCATCCAAGCCAGCCATGCAGGGAGGGCTTGTCCTCAGTTTCTTCCTAGTTCGTACTCCCAGCTGCTTTCCTGACTGTTGGGCAGAGGAGGGAACCCACAAGGCTGTACCCAAATGCAGAGGAAGCCTCAAACCTGGTGTGTATGCTGCACAACCTGATGAATCAGAGCACTGAAACCCATATGCTGTACCACGTTATGGAAGATGGGGGGGGGAGGAAGGGAGAGAAGGGGAGGGTAAAGCAGCAGATAGTGTAACTGGCATCGTTTGGATGCAGTTGGCCTATGGCTTCTCTTGTCCCTGTACCACACGATGACCGTTGTATAATTTTGAAATAAAACTTTTTCAGTGAAACCCTGGGCAGCCAGACCGACTTGCAAGGCTTGGCAGGAGACAAAATACTGTGTTTAAAAAAAGAACTTCCAGACATTCCTTGGCGTTATTAAATCTAGCATGCCTTAATCTGGAATTTATAGACCAATGCTGCGTGTGCACATCGAATTCCCATGACGTCTGTGTCATAGGAAAGGAGCTCTGTTACTAAGTATGCAAACTTGCAAGTGTCGAGCATCTTTAATGCTGCAGAGACAGGAGGACCTGCTGCCCTTCCCTGCTGTGACATTCAACTGGGCAGCAAACGTCTGTTAGACAGCCTTGCTGACTGCTCAACTGAAAGCTTCTTTGGCTGAGATACAGTCAAAGGAAATGGAGAAAAAAGCAAGAACCCGTAGCTTCAGTCAACACAAAGCTAAGCCTTAGAAAATCTGGCAAGGTCTCAGACTGCTGGCCTGTTTTTCCACTGCTGGAAAGGGATTAACATACTGGCTATCCAAGCAACCATCTGCCACTCAGCCACAAGCAGAGATGCAGATATCTCCCCTTTTCCCTCCACCAAAAACAGGCAGGTGCACACATCCGTGTGCAAATCCCCAGAGCCTGAATAAGGACCAGGTGCTTGAGGGATCACAGCCTTTTTTACTGCAGAAAACTGCAGCATCCACCCCCAGCACCAATCTTGGAGGTCTCACAACACCATCAACCTACAACAGCATCATTTCAAGCAAGTTAAAGCTATTTCAGATCTTCCAGAGCTCCTGAGCCTTTCTTACTCCCAGACTGTCTTGCTACAAATGTGTTTTTTACCATTGAGGACTGCAGTTTAATGATACAGTTAACTAGTAAAGCTGTCCACTGTAAGATGTGTGCAGGAACCTGAAATCAGACTTGTTTTCTGGGACCCTGAGACAGCACAGCTGTTTCTACTAAACCTAGCCAGCATCTCAAGCATCACTCTGCCAGGCCAGCTTTCCAGGAGCCTTGTCAGAGATGCCAGCAACAGGAAGGCTGAGGCTCACGCTCACACACTGCCAGACAGACCAGTTCCTGATGCTGTCTGTATGAAATTCCAGTCCTTAAGTTGCCTGCCTAGTTCCTGCAGAGAATAGCTTGGGTTGGAAGGAACATTAAAGCCCTCTTTCATGGGCTGGCTGCCCCTGTATCAGGCTGCTCAGGCTCCCATTCAGCCTGGCCCTGAATGCATTCAGGAACAGAGAATCCACAGGATGCTCTGGCCAGCTGTTGCCAGCACCTCATCACTCCCCAAGAAAAGAATTTCCACCTGGCATCTAACTTAAATTTCCCCTCTTTGTTTAAAGCCCTTTACCCTTGTCCTATCCCTACCAGATCCTGCAAAAAGTCAGTCTCCCTGCTGTTTGAAAGCTCTCCTCAAGTACTGAAAGGCTGCAAGGACGTCCCCCCAAAGCCTTCTCTTCTCCAGGTTGAACACCCTCAGCCTGTCTCCATGGAGAAGTGCTCCATCCTTGAGCATCCCTGTGCCCTCTGGACCCACAGCCCCACGTCCCTCCTGTGCTGGGGGCCCCAGGTTTGAATGCAGAGCTCCAAACAGGGCCTCACAAGGGCAGACAGAGGGGGACAGTCCCCTCCTCGCCCACTGTCCCCTCTGTTGGTGCAGCCCAGAGGACTGCTGGCATTCCAGGTTGTGAGCACACATTGCTGGCTCCTGTCCTGCTTTTCATTCATCAGGAGCCCCACGTCCTTCTCTGTAGGGCTGCTCTTAGTGAGTTCTCCTCCCGTCTGTACTCTTATCTGGAACTGCCCTGACCCAAATGCAATAGAAAATGGGAAACTGGACGTAAAGGCACTCTTCCTAAGGAAAAAAAATAAAAATTGCAGGTTTGTGTAATTTCAGTTAATGAAACAAATGAGTTCCAAACTGCTCAAAATGCAAACAAAAAGCTCGTGAACATCATTATCTCTTGTGATATGCATCACAGCGACTTCAAGATCAGCCTGAAAGTTAATGGAGTGCTCATGCTGACTTCTCCAGCCACAGGGCTTTCACCACAGCAGGCAAGAACAGCACCAACACTCTGCACACAGCAATGGAACAGAAGAGAGAACACATCCCTGTCTACCTCATCTAATCCTCAACTTAAGGATCTATCCATGCAACCCCACAGCTCATTAAAGCCTGTCTGCAATAGAGCAACAGATTAAGAGACTGTCTATTCAAGCCTCAAAGGAAGATGAGTTTTTCCTCAAGCATTTAAATGTGTGTGCATTTAAGTGCTTAGGACAGGTCTGAAATCTACATACACACAAAGAAATGTACTTTTTTTCCTCATGTAATGTGTGAATGCCTACCACAGAGTTCCACAGGATCACAGAATACGATGAGTTGAAAGGCACCCACAAAAGGGTCACTGAGTACAATTCTGGGCTCCACAGAGAACCACTCAAAACTCCAATCCTATTTCTGTGGTCCAAATGCATCTTCAACTCAGGTAGACTTGGTGCCCTCGTTCCACATCACCATGGACAAAGGTTACTTCTCCTAACAGATGTGAAGCTCTTCTCCATAGACTTGAAAGCCACACAGCAAACATCTCTCAGTAATAAGGGAAATTGAAACACAGAGGTGACAAAAGCATTTAGTAGAAAATACAGTAATACTTCAAGTGAAGCCTGAGAGATTGCAACTGCTTTGGACATTGCTAAACAAGCTCCCCTCCTGGAAGCCTTGGAGAAAGACTGCAGTGTAATTGTCAGTGGACTCCAAACCTCTCTCTAGAAATCAGCACCTTGTTCCCACTCTGTTTAGATCAGGATCTGCTAAGTTCACTCCAGAAGGTCACACAAGCTGTAAGAAATGCAAAGAAATTCCTTCGTACCAAAGATTCAGGCTCTTCCTGAATATACCTTGCAAAAAAGAAAAGCACCTCCACAAACACTGTCTTTTGTGATTTTATTAAGAGATGTTTTCAGGACAGTCAAGCTTCTGGTTGCAGATGCTGTAAACCCTACAACAACAACAACAACAAAAAAAAAAACAACAAATAAAAAAAACTGAGTGAGATGGTGGCAAATCATTTCCTATAGCAATTTTCCTACCCAAAATGCTGAACAGGGCAACTCCAAGTGTTCCAGTTACATCTCTCACTTCCTACATTTTAGCCAATGACCTCCCCCTACACGAGCAAGTCTTGCTAGTCAGATCCCCTTGTTTCACTGCAGCCCTGCACACCCCCTGAACCCTTCTTGCTCTCGTGAGGAGTTTCAGTCAAAGCACAACCCAGGCTGGCTTTCACTGGCAGCTAAGGAAGCCTTCTGGGAAAGGCTTTAGGCCCTGTGCCCCCTGCTGCCCCCCTCAGAGAAAACAGGCAGAACTTTTAAAAGCACCAGGCTGCACATTTTCATTGGTGACAACCCAGAGAATTTCCACTGATCAGTTCATTATAGAAGCGACTCAGCAGGAAAGACAGGAGTTCAAAACTTGGTGATTTACTAATGAAACTAGCCTAACATCAAGCTTGATGCACTGGCTTCTAAGAGTCAAATCTCAACTGGATACCAGTACAACCACTGCTTGAAAAATAGCATTAAAACATCTAAGCATTGAGCCCTTCTCAGACAAATGCCTCTAGGTCACTCAAATTCTGACCCAAGCTCCCCAGATCCATGCTGTAGAACACAGCAAGAAGCAGGGCACTTGGACAAGGATTTTCCCTTTCAGACTCGTCATCACATCTTCACGGAAGGGCACGCTCAGTGTGCAGCTAAACTGAGTCTGCATGCACAGCTCACTCCTGCTGCTCACAGGCACTCACCTCTCAGGCAGTGGGAACTGGCTGCGGCATGGCTGGCTGTTCTGGTTTGCCACCTTTCTGCTCTGAAATGGGGGTGGTGGGCAAGATCTCTTCTTTGGGTTCCACAATGCTGACATGATCTGGAAGAGGCTTTTTGGGGCCAATCTTTCCACTTGGGTCCCATGGTAACATAATTTTGACTTTGATTCCAAGCACACCTGCCAAAAAGGGACAGAACATTAAAGATAAGCTCATTGGACACAAAGTTACAAAAGTTAAGCTACCTGCACCAAAACCATCTCTCAACAACTCTGAACTGATGGAAGCTAATTAAAAGTGATAAAGCATAAAAATCTACGTAATGTAAATTTACACTGGTGTGTTTATCTCTGTTAAACTCACCGCCTTTGCTAACTGCAGCCTGGGATGACTGTGATGAGAACATGCTATAACCTGATTCTTTACTATGAGAGTGGTGAGGTGTTGAAACAGGCTGCCCAGAGAGGCTGTGGATGCCCCATCCATCCCTGGAGGTGCTCAAGGCCAGGCTGGATGGGGCCCTGGGCAGCCTGGTCTAGTATTAAATGGGGGGTTTGATGGCCCTGCATGTGGCAGGGGGTTGGAGATCCACCATCCCTGAGGGGTCCCTTCCAAGCTGGCCATTCTGTGACTTTCCTGGGATAGCAAAGCTGGCCAATTGCACCATATTCTGGTATCCCTTCTCAGACAAATGCCTCTGAATCAACCAATGAGGAGGACATCCTGTCCAAGGCAGCCTTAGCACAGCACCACAGAACATGGCACCGACCAGGCTGTGCTGGCACAAGGACATCCCTTCTGACTCGTCATCGTATCATCACTGAAGGGAGGACAGAACAACTCTGCTCATGCTAATCTCTTCACATTTGGTGCTCTGAAATGCTTATTAAGATGCAGAAGTCACTTGTGTTTTAGTGGGAAAGGACAAGGGGATGAAAGCTGGCTTGGCTGGTTCAGCTGGAAGACTTGAAAGAGTGCAGCTGTGGTGGGAAAGCTGTCAGTAATGCTTGCTTTTTTGTGGGTCTGATTTCCCTGGGAGCCAAGAGACAGAATCCAGCAGCTCTTGAACACAGTCACTATGTGTACTTATAAGGTGTTTTGCTACCAGGCTCAGAACACAAATGAGTATCTGGAAAATCTGCATGTTACCAAGTGGAAACTCCAATCCCCACTAGCAGCAAAAGCCACAGTGAGCACACAAAATCCTGCTGTCTGCTGAAGGACTTTTCTCCATTTCCCACCCACATAACAGATGCAAATAAAGGTCTCCTTCAGATCTAATGTGCAAGCTCCACTAGTGACAATTTGGTTGTGGTAAATGGAGAAAACAAATTTTCTGAGAACACCCAGGGACAACACAATTGAAATACTCTCTAAGATCAGAGGTGCACTGAAATCTAAGTTACCACCTCACAGATGAGTGAAATCTCCAGCCCGAAGGCACAGAATGCACTGGGTTTTAAAGAGCTGATGTACGGTTCACAGAATCAAAGAATGGCCCAGGTTGGAAGGGAGCTCAAGGATCACGAAGCTCCAACCCCCCCACCAATGCAGGGCCACCAACCTCCCCATTTCACAGCAGCCCAGGCTGCCCAGGGCCCCATCCAACCTGGCCTCCAACACCTGCAGGGATGGACGGGGCATCACAGCCTCTCTGGGCAGCTGTTCCAGCCCCTCACCACTCTCTCTCTAAACAACTTCCCCCTGACATCCAACCTCCAGCTGCCCTCCCTCAACTCCAAACCATTTCCCCTTGTCCTGCTGCCATCTCCCCTTTCACAGAGCTGACTCCCCTCCTGTCTGCAGGCTCCCTTGAGGCACTGCAGGCTGCACTGAAGTCACCCCACAGCTTCTCTCCTCCATGCTGAACAAGCCCAGCTCCCTCAGCCTGTCTTTGTAGGGAGCTGCTGCAGCCCTCTGCTCATCTTTGTGGCTCCTCTGGACCCTCTCCCACAGCTCCCTGTCCTTCTTGTACTGGGGGCTTCAGACCTGGACACAGCACAGCAGATGAGGCCTCATGAGGGCGGAGTAGAGAGGGAAGAGCAGAGAGGGAACACCAGTGACTGAGAGCTGCTGGCTCCAAAGCACTGAGACAAAAGGCCAACAGAGCTGCAGAGGGATCCTGCATCCCAGCCTCTCACCTTGCCGGAGCAGGACGTGACGCACGGCTGTGTCGACGTAGTAATTCACCGGGTCTCCACTGTGGATCATCAAACCATCCACAAACTTCATGGACTTGGCACGCTGACCCCTGAGTTTGCCAGACACGACGACCTCGCAGCCCTTGGCACCGCTCTCCATGATGAAGCGGAGGACACCGTAGCAGGCCCTGCAGGCAGGGAGCAGAAAGAGCCACTGCATCAGGTCCCGCTGGTTTGGGACGTCTCTGCCAAATCCAATGGCATTTTGCAACCAGTTCAAAGCCAGACAAACACATTTTAACATCTGCTTTTTTCAAAGTTACAGTCGTGCAACTCAAGCCCTGTCAGTGCTAGACAAAGCAGCAAAAAACTTCGTACTGTTTTAGCACTACCAAATCAAGCTTACAGGAGTACTGTGAATTACATACAGATCTTGTGTAGTTGTGAGCCTGGTGACAAGCAGAAGCTCTCTGGCAGCCAACCCACCCACATCATGAGTGCAGCCCCAATCCCTTCTCAGACAAATGCCTCTAAATCATTCACTGAAAGGATGCTCCTGCTGAAGAACCACGGGCAGCAGCACAGAACGTGATACTGCAGGGGCTCCACTCAGCAGGAAGCATCCCTTCAGACTCGTCATCTTATCATCACTGAAGGGAACTGAGAAGCAAGGCCACTGTCATCTGAACAATGATTCAGCCACGACGCTGGAAATTGTGTTTTACTCCTCCATCCACCATGCATTCACAAACAAATAAACGTGGACTTCATGCACATCAGTCACACAGCTTCTAACCTCATCTGACCAACTCTTTGAAAAGGCAGATAACAGCAGGACAAGGGGAAATGGATTGGAGTTGAGAGAGGGCAGCTGGAGGTCGGATGTCAGGGAGAAGTTGTTTAGAGAGAGAGTGGTGAGGTGCTGGAACAGCTGCCCAGAGAGGCTGTGATGCCCCGTCCATCCCTGGAGGTGTTGGAGGCCAGGTTGGATGGGGCCCTGGGCAGCCTGGGCTGCTGTGAGATGGGGAGGTTGGTGGCCCTGCATTGGTGGGGGGTTGGAGCTTCGTGATCCTTGAGCTCCCTTCCATCCCAAGCCATTCTGTGATTCTATGATCTAATCTAGGACTTTTGGAATATGGTGTCTAGCAATTACTACCAAAAGTAACTGCATACTAAATGAAAAGCTCCTATCTACCACAAAAGCTAACTGCCCTCTGCGAGCAGAGCATTAGTAGGTTACATTTTCCAATTGAAGACATCTCAAGTTGGTAAGCACTATCCTGCAGCACTCTGGAGTCCTACAAAGCCTCACTGGGGCATCAATTCAACGTGCTCTACTCACCGACGCACTGCTAAGCCTCCCAGAAGTTTGTATCTCAGGGACTCTGCCTGGGCGATGGCACACAGACCTCTGGTGGCCACCTTCTCGGCATAGAGCTGAAAAAATAAGTAGCAAACTCAGAAAGGCCTTTATTTCCAGATGATTTTCATTAAAAAGAAGCCAAGAGCTTCATATCACTCCATGCCCCATCCCTCAGACCAGAAGCAGAAGCTGTATCTTCAGACAGGAAGACACAGAACCTGTGAACCAGAGCTGGGACAATGAGGTGCACCGAATCTAACATCCCTAACAGCCAAAGTCTGACAGCTGAGAAGGAGAGATTCAGAAATTACAAACACAAGAGCACCAGAGCTAATGATGCAAAGGCTTGAAGAGTCATTAAATAGTTTCTGGAGAGAATCAGTAATTGTGTACCGTGATCCAGCAACACTGCTTGAGCAGAAAGAAACGTGAAGGGCACCCCAAACCACACATCCCCCCTCTCATAAGTTATTTTGGAAGGCACTACTAGCAAGGCCACCAGACTTTAACCATTACAAAGGCATCAGGGAAATACTGTTGTCTCTATTGTCTAATTCATTCCAGTATCACACAAAAGTCTCAAAGGTTGTTCTGCACCTGAACAGCAACGGGCAAAAGCATGAAGAATTTAATAAGGGTGACAGCAATGCATCAATTCCAAAAACTATGGAATTGATTGACCTCTCACCTCAATGCTGGCACAGAAATACTCCCTACAAAATATTTTTAGAGAAATGGAACAAGTTTTACATGCTTCTGTGTTCTCATTCGCTTGGAAAGCAAAGCAAACCAGACCAACTGAGCACACTCAAAACAGCTGGCAGCACAGCGATATTCGCCTTCCAGTGCAACACTGCTTTGTGAGAACAGGTGAAACGTGCCCCGAGTGATCCTGAAGTCAAATCCCCTCTCAGCTGAAGCCACCCAGACACACACACACAGCCCACGGCACAGCCCACTCAGAACTGCTTTATCTGAAGCAGTTTTACCTCCACGCTTCCCTCGGGGAAGCCAAACCTCTTCTGCACAACAGCCGTCAGCTCCCGGATGCGACGTCCCTTTTCACCCAGCACATTCTGGGTTCTGAGGGGGGAAAAAACAACACCACCACAGTGTGATTGAGGGAGTGTCACCATGTCAGAGCCTGCAACCATCCCAAGGAGCTTCCAGACTGAGCGGCTAACCCTGCTCAGGCTGGTGATTAATGGTGATTCTGTTTTACAGAAGCATCTCCTTCCCAAACACTTCAGCCTAATAATGCTTACCAAACTTCAACATCACCCCTTCAAGACTTGCACAGCATTCCTAAGCGGACAGCAGTGTTTTGATTACCTGGTGGCAAGTATGATAATCTCAGTCCTGGTTGGAGTGACCCGGACTTCTACTCCAGAGTACCCATCTTCAGCCAGTTCACGAGTCAGAAACTCATTCAGTTCAGCTTTGAAGATGCCATCAGCGACGAACTATGGAACAAACAGACCAAGATGGTGTAAGCACTTCATCCCTCCCAAAACAACAGAAGAATCTGACATTTTAAGTCTGGGTCCCCGGCCTGTCCTGCAGTCTGACAGCTTCTCTCTCCCAACAGAAAAAAAAACAGAAGTGAGGGTGAAATAAAAGCATCCTAAAGCTCCCAGAGATAAATCACCTCCAGTAAAAGCCAACACCAGAGCCTGATTCATGCCCAAAAACAGACACAGTTCAAAGCAAACAGTCAAATATCTCGTTTCTATGTCTTGCAGAAGTACTTTGATGAAGTGTGAGTTTGCATGAACTCACTGCAGAAATTGTATCCCCTCAGCAGCCCCACAGGTGCCTCAAACCCTGCTAGGTCTCCTGAAGTGTGCCCTGAGCAAGTTTGCTGATGGCACCCAGCTGAGTGGTGTAGCTGACACAGCAGAAGGGAGAGATGGCAAACAGATGGACCTGGACCAGTTGGAAAAGTGGGCACAGGTGAACTGAAGGAGGTTTGACAAGGCCAAGGCCAAGTGCAGGGTGTTGGACTGGGGCAATCCCAGATAAGAGCACACCTTGAGAGCAGCCCTCTCAAGAAGGGTGTGGGGGTTCTGGTGGAGAAAAGCAGGACAGGAGCCAGCAGTGAGCACTCACAGCCCAGAATGCAAACAGTTCCCTGGGCTGCACCAACAGAGGGGGCAGAAGGCAGGGAGAGGACTGTCCCCCTCTGTCTGCCCTTGTGAGGCCCTATGTGGAGCACTGCATTCAGGCCTGGGGCTCCCAGCACCAGAGGGACACGGGGCTGTGGAATGAGATCCAGAGGAGAGCATGGGGATGCTCAGAGGATGGAGCACCTCTCTATAGAGACAGGCTGAGGGAGCTGGGGATGTTCAGCCTGGAGAAGGGAAGGCTGTGAAGAGACCTCACTGCGGCCTTCCAATACTTGTGTAGTTTCTAAGCAGGACAGAGAACGACTTTCTAGGTAGTCTGAGAGGAACAGGACAAGAGAGAATGGTAATAGACTAAAAAAAGGAAGATTTAGGGCAGATGTTAGGAGAGAATCTCTGATTCAAAAGGTGGTGAGGTGCTGGCACCACTTCCCAGAGAGGCAGTGGGTGCCCCACGTCTGGAGACGTTGGAGGCCAGCTTGGATGAGGTCCCGGACAGCCTGGTCTGGTGGGGGACAACCAACCTATGGCAGCAGTTGGGACTGGGCTGGGCTAGTTTTAAGGTTCCTTCCAACCATTCTGACAACTCCATGACAAGTCAACCACAACCCACACCCTGTGCGCACGAGCACAGCATCACTAAACCCAAACTCCGCGTTATAAAACAACGAAAAATCACCTTCCCGCCCTGCCGCCCCTCAGCACAGCACACAGAAGCTCCGAGCCCCGTGTGCGGCCCACACGCGATCCCTGAAAGCAATTCACGGCTCCCCGCGGCCCCAGCCAGGGCCCGCCGCACGCTCCCCCCGCCGCCATGTTCCCCGCCCGGCCTTGAAGCCGCATCCGCCGCCATCCTTCCGCATCTGCCTCCATCCCCTTTTCGCCACCCCAACCCGATGAGCTCCGAGGCCGCCCCCAGCGCGTCCCCGCCGATATGGGGGCGCTCTGCGGCCGCGGAGAGGAGGGAGGCCGCCCTTACCTTGCGCTTCTTGGAGATTTGCACCGCCATCTTGAGCCGCGCCGCCCGGCGGAAAGAGGGCCTATTTCCGGGGGGAGGGCTATATCAGCCTTCCGACGCTCCCCATTGGCTCGGAGCGATCACGTGGGTCTTGGCGCTGGGATCGACGGGAAAGGTAGTCTTCCCTGCGCCGCCATGTTGGGGAGGATTAACCCTTCCCCTTTCAGCGCGTATTGCCGCCCTGCCAGGCTGCCGTCAGCGCCCTCAGTCGGCGTTAAAATGGCTACAAAGCCGATTTTAATGCAGCCGGGCGCTGACAGGATGATAACTCACCCACAGGTGCCACACAGAGGTCAGCTCCGGCTGCAGAGAGGCCTCCTCAGGGACAGCCCTGCTGTGAGGGGAGCCCCGCACTGACCGTCCTTCTGAACCTTTATTTTTCCTGTTTTTGGGCAATCCCAGTGCCTCCAAGTGCCAAAGAACATTTGGGCACCGAGTGCTGCCCAGGTAGATGGTGGGGTCGCCAACCCTGGAAGCGTTCCAGAGCCATGGGGATGCGGCACTGAGGGAATTGGGGGGGGTGCGTTGGGGTTAGAGATCTGCGCAATCTTATGCAACCTTAATTATTCCATGATCCTATGACTGGCTTTTGGTTATGGTGGGCAAATGAGAAATGATGATAACGAGTAGAATTGATATGTGAGAGTACATACAGAATCACACAGCATCAAAGAATGGCTTGGGATGGAAGGGAGCTCAAGGATCACGAAGCTCCAACCCCCCACCAATGCA